GGGGGGGGGGTTTAAAGATTATTGTTATATAAGAGTTGGAAGAGATGGTGGGATAGTGTTATTAAAGATATTTTTGATAAGTTGATAATAGAAGGGAAATATAAAAGTGTACTGCACGGTTTAAGAGTGTACTTTACGGTTTAAGAGTGTACTGTTCAGTTTAAAATGTATACTGCACTGTACAGTTTTAAATTTCATCACTGCACACTGTACAGTTAAAAGTGAACAGCACTGTACAGTTTCAGAGTGTACTGCAATGTATGGTTTAAAAGTGAACAAAACTGTACAGTTTAAGAGTGTACTGCACTGTTTAGTTTGTTTACAAAGAGCAGGTTTCTGTTCTTATCTATTCTATCTTCTTCATCTTCATCCTTCCTTGAACTTGAACTTACAGGTTGGCTGGTCACAACCATTCTAGATTCCATCTTTACACTGAGATCCATTGGTTCCGGAGACAGAGATCTTTCAGACGACTGATCGCCAGATTGATCGCAGGGATCAATAGACCGATCAGAATGGCTGGATGAATGATCAATGGATTTTTCTGAGAAATTGTCAACAATATCTTTATCTGGTGAATGATCCCGGACCGGAGCTCCTGAAAACCTAGCCAGGAGTTCTCGGTGCTCCTGAAGTAGATCAAGAGGAGATCCAATATGGCCGCCAAGATGGCTGCTTACTCTCTGATTGATGGAGTAGAGTAGAGGATGTGCGAGGAATGGATTCTGGTTAAACAAGGGAGAAAGCTTGTAAAATGGGAAACCTGCTCCTAGTCCTCCTCCCATCAGCAGAGGATTGTAAAGATGGGATAATGAAAGTGTGGGATTAGTTTCAGAGGCAGAGAGAGGAGATGTCGGAGCAGGAGGGGGAGAGTCGGGGTTCAAATGTCGTCTTTTTCGTGGATTTTCCGGAGATGGAGACCGAGAATTTGAAGAGAAAGATTTATCGGTTGATTGGGGATTATCTTCTGATTTGATCCATGATCTGGGTTGGGGAGAGCTACGGCTAGGAGAGCTGGAGGGAGGCTGTTGCATTAAACAATGAATTTTGAACCAATTAGATCTTCGGCCGTACCTTGATCCAGACTTTGACATGCCGACCATGAGACACTTCCTGAGCCGGCATGCCTTGCATGCCGTCCTATTCTTCTTATCCACTACACACCTGTAGCTGTTCTTACATTCCTAAATAAAACAGAATATGTAAGTATTAAACAAGTTTGCTACAATTTCAACAGTATCGTTAATCTTGAACGGTTGATCTAAAAACATTCGATGTGTACACTTTTGAATTTGAGGATTAATGTATATTCCATGAACTCAAGTTATCACTGAAGGGTGATAGAAGATTAATTAAATTAATCCGTTCGTCTGCATAAGATGGAGATCAATGCTTGATCCCGAGATTCACAACCCAATAGTTCTGACTTCAAATAATATTGTTTTTATTATTGCAAAATATTAGAACAATTTCATTCTGTTTAGCAATTAATTTCACAAAAGCTTTTTACGAAAGTTGATCAAATTTATCAAATAATTAAGGGGTTGAAGATTGTTTATTTGAATACAGACGTATATGTAGATTTATAGATACATATCATACACTATAGAGGAATATAGATACATATCATACACTATAGAGGAATATAGATACATATCATACACTATACAGGAATATAGATACATATCATACACTATACAGGAATATAGATACATATCATACACTATACAGGAATATAAATACATAACATACACTATACAGGAATATAGATACATGTCATACACTATACAGGAATATAGATACATATCATACACTATACAGGAATATAGATACATATCATACAATATACAGGAATATTGATACATATTATACACTATACAGGAATACCACCGAAGAATAAGGTTTTGATGACGACTTAAATCGAATTTGATAAATACCATTTATAAAATGATAAAGAAAAAGTTTAATGCGTAAATTCCTTAAAGTCGTCTTTGATTTATTCATTGTTGGTAACCTTGTATTTTTTATCATATTGATCCAACCAGTCTAATTTGTGTGTGTAAAACGTGCAGGGTCAACTACCCACTTAGTAGCCTATAGACCCACTGCACTGGCACGAGTGAATACATATATAGTACATTGTACAATAACAGTTACAGTTAATACCTTGTACTGGGCATGCAACGATTTGACAGGGGTGCTATATTTACCTGAATAACAGATTGATTATTACATGTTCTTCCGAAGAAGGATTTACATCCCTCGCAGGTGAAAGCTCCAAAATGGAATCCTGCCGCAGGTTCCTCGCATACACGGCAGAGCTGGTTCTGCAGTGGGTCAACCTTCTCTACCTAAAATAAAAAAGCTGTTACATTTATCTTTCTTAAACATGGCATGTCTAATTCTCAAGCTTCCCTTTATATAAAAAAGAAATATCGTCGTTTCTCCATCTGAAAATCTGAAAAAGTTTTGAATTCTCAAAAAAATTTTATAAAAAGATTTTTCAAAATTTTTGCTATGTCAAAGGTTAAAAGGGCATCGATGTGAATCGGGCATACCACTTGAATCAGGTTCACAGTCCCTTTATGGCAAACATAGTCGGCCAATGATTTATTTTCATAACGAGGATAAACGAGGCCATTGAGGTCACACCAGGACAAAATATTAGGTGAATAAGAGGTAAAGTACGATTCAAATAGAGACGTGCCGGGCCCATATGCAGCGCAGGCTTTCACGGTACGGTAAATAATAAATAAAATTTATTACATGAATTAATTCGATACTCGATAGATGTGGATCAAAGTTATTCATTCGATATCAGGCTATTTATCTATCTACATGTCTATTTATTTATCTATCTACATGTCTATCTATCTATCTATCTATCTATCTATCTATCTATCTATCTATCTATCTATCTATCTATCTATCTATCTATCTATCTATCTATCTGTTATATATCTACATGTCTATCTATCTATCTATGTATCTATCTTTCAGTGTATCTATCAGTCTGCCTTATTTCTATCCGTTCCGTATCAAATCCATAAATCTATGGAAAAGGAAGACTTCTCTGAAACTGAAGATATGATTTTAAAAAAAGGTTAATGATAATAAAACATAACTATTTTTCAATTTAAAAGGACCAATTTAATTTAATAAACTGATTTTCAAGCTGCTCTATGGCATCATCAAAATAAAGATGCTATAATATCGTCTTCCTATTTCAAAATTTTTAGGTCTCACTGTTCTTTTTATCAATCTTTTCAACTGTATGGGTGTCTCTCTCTATCTCTCTATCTGTCTATATCTCTTTCTGTCTATCTGCTTATATATCTAAAGTCATGTCTATTTAAAATCTATTAATCTTAATTTGGCATCATCTTGAATTCAGTTAACCACAGATCTAGTCTAATCTAGAAGATGTTTGTTTCTTATATTCTCAGTTTATTTAGCCGTCTCTTTAGTCTTCGTTGAAGTCTCTTTTTCCTCGCGTTTTCGTACTTTCGTACTTTCACGTGATCTTTCATTAACAAGAGGGGCATGTTCGATTCTCAACATTAAACTGTGGGAGAAACAGTCGTTTTTCTACCTTGATAAATGCTTAATTCTGAAAATTTCACCATTGTTTCCAATACAGGAATACGCAAGTCACTTTACAGAGAACCCACAATTGAAGATGATTAAATTTAAAGAAAGGATGCTTGACCAGAAAAGCGTTAATAGTACTATCGTGAATTGAACATGTCACTCGAAATCCCGTCTACAGTCCCTTTAGGATATTCATCATCTAACAACCTTGTTTAAACATTGTGTATAAAATAAACCAATTGACTTATTTAGATGTTTAGAATTCTGGTCGTCTGCATATTTGACCCATTTATATGCGTATTATAGAGGTGGACACCCAGCATACATAGGAATATAGGTTTTTGCTGTTTTAGCGTTTTCAGGGCGTTTTCTTTACATTTTTGTATTTCCTCTTCCGCTACGTTCAAGTTTATGCCTTATAGTCTGATAAGCTAAGATGTCATTCGTCTTTTCACTAAACTTAAGGTTGTAATATTCACAGAATTCATATTATATGTATATTAAAAAATAAAATTACAAATATTTTATTGGACAAAAAGTTTTCGATGATAACTAAAAGAATTCAAAACAAGATGAAAAATATTCTTTTCCTCAAATTTTCTTGGGACACTCGGCTCAACATTTATTTTGAGGGTAAAAATGTTTGAAATTTTATGTTTACATACTCCTCCCCGCCCCCCCCCCTCCCGTCTTAAAGCAAACAAGAATCAATATCAAGTTACGAAATTCAATATTTTTAGTAAAATGGTCTTTTCAGTCCAAATACTTTATGGTAATAGGAATTTTCAGAAATTTAACATTCTGCCCAATTTTACTAATATGCTGCTTGTATATCATAGTAATATATTGTCTCATAGGTCATATATGATGTGCTTTAAAAAATCATTATTTTAAAGTAGGCCAAAGCATATTCTTAAAATAACCAAACATAATGGAATTTGTAGTCAAAATTTCAAATTACCCTCCGTTTAAAAAGAGGAGCATGTTTGATTCGAACCTGTTTGAACCTGTGCCTAATCAAGGAAAAATAAAATATCCTAATATTTTTTTAGCTGAAAATTGATTATATATTCAATTGTGACTTCTTGGTGAATATCAGTCAAAGATTTGAATTATAGAATTATACAGGTAGAATAGGGCCAACCACTCAAAACAACCTACCCTGTTTAGGCGGGTCCAAACTACATAGTAAATTGTGATTGCTTATTTGTAATATCTCATGCTTTGTAGTTGAATACAAATATGAAATATGAAATATGAAATATGAAATATGAAATAAGAAATACGAAATATGAAATATGAAATATGAAATATGAAATATGAAATATGAAATATGAAATATGAAATATGAAATAAGAAATATGAAATATGAACTATGAACTATGAAATATGAAATATGAAATATGAAATATGAAATTCCGGCTATATCTTCCTCAGTGGTGTTACTCAAACAACCGTTTAAAGGGACGGACCACTGTAAATAAGAAATTTTTTTTAAAATGAAAGATCTCTTGAAATCACGTCGACAGTCCCTTTAAGTAAATTTCAAAACTTTTATTAAAATCAAATTTCAAATATAAAATAGAACCATCGAATAAAATTAAAAAGTTTTCCATTTTTAATAAAATTATGAGTATTATTTAAATCTGTATTACAATAAGTTTATACGAATTAATTGTAAACTTTTATTTTTTTTTAAATTTCTAGAAAAAAATCTTTTTATGTTTATGAACTGAAAAAAATGTTTAATCAATTTAGTATATTTGGAACACTCTTTATTTTTGGGACACTCTTTATATTTGGAACACTCTTTACATTTGGAACACTCTTTATTTTTGGGACACTCTTTATATTTGGGACACTCTTTATTTTTGGGACACTCTTTATATCAAGAATTTCTTTCTAATTGGAACACTCATTTTATTTGGGACACTATTTATAATTGGGGGGGTTGTATTTATATTTGGAACACTCTTTACATTTGGAACACTCTTTATATTTTAGACACTCTTTATATTTGGAACACTCTTTATATTTTAGACACTCTTTATATGGATCAAACACTATTCATTGATTGAATGATTAAGCTTTGAATTGAAATTGTGAAATTTTATTCAAAATTTATTTAAAAATACGTGAGAGCTATTATAAATACGTCGTATTCAAAACAAGGAGTTTTTCAGGGTTGATAGACAATGTAATCATCTTTTTACTATATAACCTAAAGGGACTTGTAGAGCCACTAATGCAGACTCATTGACCTTTTATAAAAAAATTATATTTACAGAAACATATCTTAGAAATGATAAGATGATGTAGATAGGAAGATTGATTGAGATAGTTTGATATATAGATAGATATATAGATATGAAAGTGCAATTGCTATTACCTTATATGGACATTTAACCCGTTTTAAATACAAATTGTGCAAAAGTTAATCTCCCGATTTTATTGTTCTATTTAGCACATTTAGAAAATCATCCATTTAGTTGAGTTTGATAGATTTTAAAACGAGTGCACTTATTCAATCAATTCTAGGCTTGATAACTTTATCTATATTGTTGATGCACCATCAGGAGTAGTTAAAGGGCAAAGTGCTAGATGGAGTCTACATTCCGCACCCCCCCCCCTTTTACTCACCCTCCTCACCCTCCCAAGTCCAAGCTCTCAGACTTTTTTTAAGGGTACCGTTGTGCATCATACATGTCACTTTTTAAAAATAGAGAGTCACGTGAAGTTATTATTTAGAACCCCTTTAAGTTTCAAAATGAAGTCATATCCGGATTACATTATTATGTTTATTATTTCTGTAAAATATTCATTCCTATTTCTCCTTAATATGCTCAAGCTCATTGTTTGCTAATATTCTCTGTAGATTTAAGAAGAAGAAGCAATATAGAACTGTATGAAATGTATGGAACTATTCATTCTAATTTCAACTACAGAATATGCAAACCCTTTGGCTTAATTTAATTAAGCTAATCAAGCATAAAGGGTTTTATTAGGGGTTTTCATTTCCGTAAATGTTATCTAGGTATATATAACCTTAATGGCAGAGAGTGGGGGGATGGGGAGAGGGGGGGATATAATCCTAACATAGCATCTTTAAAGAGCATCATCGCATTAATTTTTTCAAAGCAAATGAAGTTTTGATGAATGTTTTTTCTAAGCATTTATTTTGATTGTTGAATATTTGTTTGATTTTCTTAATTTCTTTTTCAGATATCTAAATATCTATTTGGATATCGAGATTTTACATGGATATCTTCGTTTTAGTTTGGATATCTAAATTTTGTTTAGATATTTGAACCTCTGTTTAGATATCTATGTGTAAATATTGAACAATTTTTGACCTAGCTGCTTAAAAGTCGGTACAATATTCAATATGAACCTGAAAGTTTAGGATATTTGGATTTGGTTTGATATCTAAATATACTAATATTTAATATTAATATTAATATTTAAACATTAGCTGGACATATTAACGACTCTATTCGTCTGTTGACACTAGTTTGCATTTGGATATTCAATATATGTGTATATACAGTGAGAACCAGAAAACTATGTAATAGGAAGACGACTTTAAATGGTCCAATGAACATGAGACACAATAATTGGGCAGATTAAAGTTACTTGTACCAGTGCAACTACTTTCTTTGTAAACAACATCTAACGAACATAACTATTGCTATAGCGTCGTCTTCCGTTTCCACAGTTTTCTGGTTCTAAATGTAGGTAACATGTATAAATATCGGAAGGTATTTGGATATTTAAAAATCTGTTTGTATATCTGGATATTCAAGAATAAATATTGTTTAAATCTACCCATGTTTTTATACCGCTTAAACCTGGTGAATAAATGGATTTTATTTATGTTTTACAAGCTTCAGATACTAGCTAGCTAGGATCAGGGGCAAATACAGTGATGGTGGTTGGCTATTGGTATTCAGCCCCCTCACTAAATTTATGTAAACACTTTGGGTGGTGACCAGTATCTCCCCCCCCCCTAATCAAAATCCTTTTTACGCCCCTGTCTAGGGTACTATAATACCAGGGATATCAGAGTATAAAACTACCTATTTTACATTTTAATAAATACAACACCAACACACTTTTATACCTTCCAGGAAGCTTCAGAGCTTTACTGCCTCTTTTACTCGGGGGCTCTGAAAGAGGAGGTGTATGTTCTCCTAAGTCTTGATATTAAGCAAAAGTTTATTAACATTTCAGTTCAAACTCTAACAAGTTTAACGCCTTTTTTCTGAAGAGTTTAAAAAAAAGAAAAAAAGTTTAAAAATGTATCTGGCATAAACAACCTTGTTTTTCATCTCTTTTTAGGAAATGATAATTAAAGGAGCTACTAGGTGGTAAAGTCGTACAAGTAGTTCCGCAAAAGTATGTTTGGATTGATCTAATATCAACTTTATCTCCAAGTAGCCCCAATATAATATATAAAAGGGTGTTAGTAACGCAATTTACAAAAAAACCTTTAAAACTAAATCTAACCTTATTGACGTAATTTTTAATCTAAAAAATGTATTACTCTCTTGTCATTTTCCCTGGAATGTTGCAACTCGCTCCCATAATCTTTATTATTGACTTATAGTCACAAGCCGCAATAAGGATAACCCGTGATAATAAATAGTTTCAATATTGATACTGGAAACCGACATTACACTCTTCAAATGACTCTAAATAAAAATATTTTGAGATCCATATCTTATTCCAGTGAGAGATTCAAAATGATCTATTAAAGCCCTGAACTATTTTTACCAGTAGAAGTCGGCTTGGGATCCCATTTAAAAAAAATCTTATTTAAACCCTTGGCAATTGGATGTCTTTGAAAAATACTCTATGGCCTCTTAAGTGTAAAAATTCGAAAACATGTATTAAATATTACAGAAACATTTAATCTTCGAATTCAATTAAAATCTTAAAAGGAAGAGTAGGTCTTTCAATCTGATTTGCCAATGAACATAGAACCTAAAATTTAAAATTTTTCATTTACCATACTATTTTTGGTCAACTAGAGGAATCTGCCAGAAATTTTAGATATGACGTCACTCCATTCCGACATGGAGCATTTTCATTTTTTTATTGATTCAAGTCATTACACAGAGATTTAGGATTAATTCAAAGTGTTTCTAAATTAAATGTTTCGTAATAGAAAAACAATCGTTTTAGAGGACTCAATAGAATCGGAAAAAAGGGGTGCATAATTATTTTTTTGTGACCTTTTTGCAAATGTATCTTTTTATACGACAAAAAAGTTTTTGCCAATATTTAAGTTTGAAGGTTTACTTTAAAAAAAGGTAAAAGGTAAAGTGTTGTAAAAAAAATTATTTGTTCAAAGTTTACCTTATTCATATCCATTTTTAGATCTTCTGAGGGTACAAGCGTAGTTGGAAACATTATAAAAAATTAAAAAATCACATGACACACAAGTGAGGAAGGTCGGCTAGAGTATTCTTGTATCTATCTATCTATCTGTATGTGGATGGGTCCAGTAGAATTCAAACACTGAACTAGTCAGAGTGGTGTCATCCTTCTACATCGTATCCCTCGCTCCGGTCACCCCCCCCCCCTCCCTCCGCCCCCCTTATTCTCCCCAATCCTCCCTGTCTACAAATAGGCGTAAACCTTAAACGCAATGGGTTACCCTTTAAATTTAAGGACATTTCTTTCAATTTAAAATGTCATTCTTACTAATAAAAAAAAAAAACATTGAAAATTTGGAAAATATTTATGCAGAGAAGGATAGACAAACTTTCTTGTGAGCTTTTATTCATGGATTGTCCGATGCACTCTTTAACCTTTGTCTGGTCAAGGAGGATGGAGATATCCATATTTTTCTAGGGCAACTTATAATTACGTATACAGTCACTTTTATTTTTATTTTTTTCGAAGTATCTAACTTTTTTAAATAATCTCATATATTATATCTGTTAGAGACTTTAACGAATCATACACAGGTATCGTAAGAAATGAAATGTTTTATAAATCAGTTTTTATTCATGTTACTATTTTTTAGACAACATGGTGCCTGGTTCCCTTGTTCCAGGCACCTACTCAATTTCATTTATTTTATTTATTTATTTATTTATTATTTGGGTTCATGGTTCTAAATTCCGTATTTCGAGATATTGGTTCCAAGATTATCATCTTTTGTTCATGGTTCCTTTAGATATCTAGTCCTGGTTCTTTATTCCCAAAATCTGGTTCTTTTTTTTTGTTTCTCCTTAAAAATTTCTTAGTTCTGGTACTGGTTCCGGATTTCTCGTTCCTAATTCCCGGTCTCTGGTTCCTAGTTTGTTGTGTCTGCAGTTTCTAGTTCCTGGTTTCTGGTTCCTTGTTGAAACTTTAGAGTTCTGGTTCCTGATGTCTTGTTTCCGGGGGTTTAGTTCCTAGTTCCTGGTCCCACAATTCATCCCGTTTTTGTCATCTCTATGTTTAAAGATCTTGTTTAGTTTTCTCCTCCCATCTTCAAATATTACTACATTATCATCTATATATTTATCTATCAAACTATCTATCTGTCTATCTTTCTATCTATATATATATATATTTATCAATCCATCTATCTGTCTATTTATCTATCTATCTATCTATCTATCTACCTAACTAAAAGATTGTTACAAAGGATTATTTGAAAATATAGAAAACACATTTGTAAAGAAGTTTAATAAGTACATCACGATTATACTGCTTCTACTTTATATGTCTATGTCTATGTCTATGTCTATGTCTATGTCTATGTATGTCTATGTCTATGTCTATGTCTATGTCTATGTCTATGTCTATGTCTATGTCTATGTCTATGTCTATGTCTATGTCTATGTCTATGTCTATGTCTATTTCTATGTCTATTTCTATGTCTATGTCTATGTCTATGTCTATGTCTATGTCTATGTCTATGTCTATGTCTATGTCTATGTCTATATATAACCAGTATACTGTTGTGTACTAGAACTATACCGTTACATCAGATCGGATCAAGTACTTGTTGAGCCCTTTAGATTGGGTGGTCAGATAGAGGGATCCAGTCAATGTCATGAGGGGAGGGGGGTTATTTGAATATGACAACAGGTGAATCTGGATAGAAGGAAGGATAAGAATAGGTGACTGAAGATACAGTTAGATCTATAAATATATATAAATCCTAGACCCTTCTTTACCCTATCTAGATTATGGATACAAGCCCTTTCAAAACAAATCAAAATGGGAATTTAAAGAGAAGGATATTGTCTTGCTTGTCTGTTGATTTCGTTCTTCAAGTTCCTCCAAGTAACTTTTACAGAAAAACCACAATTGAAAGTAAACTGTTATTAAAGAGGAAACATGAATATCTCATTCACTCTTGAAAACTCTGCGCTTCTAAGGGTACCATTATTAATTAGACAGGCTACAATATAACTTTTATAGTCCCTTTCAGTCCCATACAGTCCTTTTCAGTCCCTTTCAGTCCTTTTCAGTCCCTTAAGTCCCGTAGAGTCCCTTTCAGTCCCTTATATTACAGTCCCTCAATGTCTTTCAGTCCCTTTCAGTGCCTTTCAGTCCCTTACAGTCCCATTTAGTCCCTTTCAGTCCCTGTCAGTCCCTTACAATCCCTTTTAGTTCCTTACAGTTCCTTACAGTCCCTTTTAGTCCCTTACAGTCCCGTTCAGTCCCTTTTAGTCCCTTTCAGTCCCTTACAGTCCCTTTTAGTCCCTTTCAGTCCCTTTCAGTCGAGCAATAATTTGTCGAACATGATTATTCTTTAAACTTTTTGATTGGACTTGATATTGAATGATGAATACAATAATTATGAATAAAAACATGTTGCAACTTTGTAGTAAAGAAATTGACATACAAGGATATTAGAATTGTGGACAGAGGGGTTAGTTAGTCATGCTATACATGCCAACTATCCATCTATCTATTCATCTATCTATCTATCTATCTATCTATCTATCTATCTATCTATCTATTCTCTATCTATCTATCTATCTATCTATCTATCTATTCTATCTATCTATCTATCTATCTATCTATCTATGTATCCATCTATTTTTTATCTATTAATCTATTCATCTATTTATATAACCATCCTTTTATTTAATTATCTATAGTTTTCAACAGATCCTTTACTGTAATTAACTATCTATATCAAAGTATCTGTTTAAAAATGTGATTAATATTTAACTATCTATCTATCTTTTTTTTACCTATTTCTCAACGATTGTTTTTTAATGATCTGTTTATATATATATATATATATATATATGTTTAACTATTTGTTTCCATTCTTGTAGAAATGTTTACCCCTTATACTGTTTCTGTTTAGCCTAAAGGGACTGGGTTTAATTTTTAACTACCCTTCATCTTCATCTGTAAAATTATGTGGAAGTGATTGTGGTTTTTAAGTTGTAAAGGCATTTAATTCTTTCCTTTTTTCTAAAGCAGAAATCCACAAATTACATAATAGAGAAACCAAAATTTAAAGAAAAAAATCAAAAAGATATGATTGATATATTTTTTATTCCTGATGAGACATAGATTATAACGGTACTATTGTGAATCGGACATGCCATACATTTAATAGAAAGTTATTTGAAAGTGCGCATACAGTCCCCTTAAGAAGAAGACTAGAATGTTTGTATGCACAGTATCAGCAAACAAACTAAACCTAAAGCTAGTCAAAATTCAAACAAAATGACCAAACACAGTAGAAAAATAACCGCATTAAAAATTTTTTTCGCGGGTTAAAAATTTACCCAAGATACCTGCGAACAAATGTGAATTGTGCACCAATTTTTGAAAATAGAAAAGTAAAAAGGGGGGAGGGGGGGGGTGTTTTCTTTCGGAAATCACTAATTTGTATCGAGTAAAAAACATGCAGTACAACAGCAAATGTAACATGCACGAAATCATAAAAATTGCTTTGAAACCTCAACTAATGCAAGTTTTCAATAAATTCTGACAAAGCAATAAAATATTTATATGAATTCAGAGCATTTTTCTTCCCAAACTACGCAACCTGTTAAGGGCTCTGACCGCGAATATACGCATTACGCATATTTGGGATCTGGTTGACTTACGAGAAACAATTCAAAAAGTCATCGAATCGTTAAACACCGAAAGTAAAGTTTCTAACCAAAGTTTTGGTTAAACCACTTTCTCTTAAAAGCATATTAATTTAAAACAAATGAAAAACAAACGATTTTAGTAAAATATAAAATCTTTTTGTATGTAAGCATGAAAAAAATAAATTTTTAAGTTTATATAAAAACAAATTATCTTTTACATTAACATAAAACAATATCAAATTTCCCAGATCTTCAGTTTTTCAAAAAGGCGTTTTTTTGGAATTTACGATTTTACCCCGCTTGTCATTGAAGTAAACTTTGACCCCTAAAAGTGTGATTTCGCGTACTGTACAATTCTGATTGATTTTCCGTTCATAAGCTATCTATTCTTATTTATTTATCTATGGTTAAAAGTGTTTAATTCTGATAATTCCTACAAATTTCAATTCTTGATAAAGAAATGCACAAGACCCTTTTGAAAAGAAATCACAATTGAAAATAATCAGTTGTCAAAATTAAAAAGTGAATATCAACTTATTCTTAGTCAGACAAAGCTTTCAAGGGTACCGTTAGGGATCGGGCATTGTCATCTTTACATGTAGAACCACAGTTTGAAAATACGTTTACACTTACAGTCCATTTAATCTAAAAGCAGCTAAATTAAATTGTTTAGATCATATTTATAACGGTAAAGGATGTGGTTTATAAAAAATAACGGGCTTAAAGCAGTAACCATATACCCCGCCCCACATCCATTTTATAAACCATATATCCCCCCCTCCAACCATATTTCTAACNAGATAGAAATATAGATAGATAGATAGATAGATAGATAGATAGATAGATAGATAGATAGATCGATAGATAGATAAATAGATAGATAGATGATAAATAGTATCGCATACATTTTTTTTTATAAACTAGGCGTATAAATTTGAGTGTTGCCGCTATCATTACATTGCATATCGCAAAACTAATTTATAATAATAATAATAATAATAACAAGTTTATATTTTTGGGGTCATAATCTACAATACTTTTATTAGGCATATTTTTATTTTAGCATTGCATGTGGGATTTCAGAACATGAAAAAGGGCATTATTTTAAAGTAAATTTTTTTAATTTCAATCATCAGAACACTTCCCTCCTAACGTGCTTTAATTAATACCTTTAGCAAAGATTGGCCCATTTAGTTCAGCCGTTTGGAGAAACAAACAAGCTGAAGAGTCTTTGCCACAAACTCTTATTTTCTAATCCCCATATCTTTGCAATCCAAAGTTGGAGATCTTAGATATTTCAAACAAATAATCTAAGTTTGAAATACCAATGGATTACACCTGAAGGTTGCAAAGATAGAACTTAGAAATTATTGTTTGTTTCAACAATAGAGCTAAAAATTTACTAAATATACATTCTAATATGAAAATGCTAATAATTATTC